TTTCCTTCATCAAGTTAGGAACGTTTTCTGCCATTATTGTTCAAACAGGTTTTCGATTTCTTGTTCTCACTCTTCTCCTTCTGGCACCCCCAAGATGCGAATGTTGGCACGCTTGAAGTTGTCCCAGAAGCTCCTTACACTATCCTCATTTTTTTGGATTCTTTTTTCTTTTTGCTGTTCTGGGCATTTTTTGCTCCCTTATATTCCAAATCGATGGTTTGCTTCTTGATTTACGTACTCTACTATTGAATCTGTGTAAATTATTCTTTATTTCAGTTAATGCCTCCTTCGATTCTGACTGTGCATCCATAATTTCTGACTGGTCCTTTTTTATACTCTTGAGGCCCTCACTAAGTTCACTGAGGTTCTCACTGAGTTCACTGAGTATCCTTATAAGCAGTATTTTGAGCTCAGCATCTGTTAGGTTGCTTATCTCCATTTCCCTTAGTTCTTTTCTTGGAGTTTTGTTCTGTTCTTTCATTTGGGACCTGTTTCTTTGTCTTCTCATTTTGGCTGCCTCCCTGTGTTTGTTTCTGTGTATTACTTAACAAGCGGTATGGGGCTAGCTGAGACCAGATGCTGCTTGTTTGAAAGAATTTAGGAAAAACCTGAAGCAGAATCCAAGACAGGTCAATCCTATGGTTAAGCAAGTGGCAACAGCTTGGGTGGGCCTGAAAGTTGGGTGGGGCAGTGCGGGGCCTCAGGGAATCACCAGGGCGTGGCTACCAGTGTGAGCCAGGTTGATGGAGTCCCAGATATGGCTTCTGTCTGCCGCCCCCAGGAAGGGTTCACCAAAGGAACAAAGGCCTCTGACAGTACGCCTGTCCTGGAGAAAGCCCCCTCTCCAGCCCTTGCTCCAGTGCCAAACAGCTCAGTTCTTCCCTGTATGTCTCTGGTGCCCCTCGAGCTACCTCCCCTCCAGGCTTAGAGTGATAGAGTCCGATAAGTTCGTGCACAGGCCCTTTCGGCTTCCCTGAGCCTTAGTTCTCACTGGTTTTTCCAGCCAGAAGTGATGGGGACTTCTCTTCCTGGCACTGGAACCCTGAGCGGGGCACCTGGTGTGAAACAGGGACTCCTCAGTCCTCAGGAAGGACCTTCCCAGCCGAGGTATCCTTCTGATTTTTATCTGCCACATGTGGGTGTGGGACCAGCCCGTCTCGCCACCGGCCCTCACACCTCCGCCTTTCCTACGAGTCTGGATGTGGCTGCTGCTTTAATTCCGTAGTTGTAGGACTTCCATTCAGCTTGATTCCAGGTGGTTTTGAATGATGATTGTTCTGTAGTTTAGTTGTAACTTTGATGTGGTTGTGGGAGGACGCGATATCGTGTTTACCTACGCCGCCATCTTGACTGGAAGTCCCCCACTTTTTAATGCAGAATTGTAGATGTCTAGGTTTTCTGTACAGAACAGTTCTCTGCGTCGTTGAGAGAACTGATGATGCTGTAGCATTTCCTGAGTTTCTGTGAGGTCCCCAGGGATTTTTCCCCCAAGTTATTGACACTCATTTTGTAAAATTTGATGCTGACATGTTGTCAATCTTACCAGGAGGTATCAGTGAAAGATTTTCAGACAATCAAGACTCTTATCCTCTTAAATGGTCCTTAAGTGGTTTGTTGAATGAAATATCAAGTTGTAGTTACCTGGTCTAGCTAAATGCCTGCATGTGCAAGCAAAGACAACTGACTTTGTCACTACTGCCATGAGGCAGCAGCTATTTCAACATGCCATGGCCTTAAAACATCTCAATTTCATAGATGATAATATAAAAACACGAGTGTGGGAGCAGACCTGGATACAATTCTCAGAGCTTATTAAGAAAAACTGGGAGTTGGGACAACTCATAATAGTCTAAGTTCATCATCCTTCAGTGAAAGAAGTCAGTGACTGTACTTTAAATTTTGAGGTTGATACATTTGTAAATAAGGTCCTAAGTTTATTTTTAAAATGCAAAAGTAACTACTTGTAAAGAAAGAAACTGGAAATATAAGTGGAGTAAATGTCAAATATTATAAGAAACTTCTGACACAAAAGTACGTAAATAACAATAGAAGGAGTACAGATCTCATTTTCTAACCAATTGTATGAAAACTAGAAATTTAAAAAGGATGAGTAGCCCAGCTGGTGTGGCTCAGTGGTTGAGCATCAACCCATGCACCAAGAGGTCACCTGTTCGATTCCTGGTCAGGGCACATGCCCAGGTTGTGGGCCTGATCCCCAGTGTGGGGTATGCAGGAGGTGGCCAGTCAATGTTCTCTCTGATTGATGTTTCTATCTCTCTCTCCCTCTACCTTCCTCTCTCTCTAAAATCAATAAAGAAAAAATATCTTAAAAATAAATAAATAAATAAAAAGGATGAGTAAAAACCCCAGTCACCCTATCCTTTACTCAAAACCGAATAGTTAGAAAATAATAATAATAATAATAACAACAACAATGCTTTATTTTAGTGTTTGAGGATTGATGTAAGGTACACTTACTCCAAGGAAATTTTCTACTGGTTATAAACATGTTCATTAACAAGAAAGAAAAGAAATGTATTTCAAGTAGATAAGATGGAAAAAGAACAAAAACTTTAAAAAATTATAAACTGCTCAATAACCTATTTTTAAAAACCAGAGAAACCACCCATACACACAATTCAAAGTGAGTTAAAAAACAACAACAGTACAGTAAAAGTAGAAATGAAAAGAATTATGAGAATGATCCACAAATTCCTATGCAAATAAATTTGAAAATCTGGGTGGTTAATTTTTCAGCAAAAGATAAATAACCTAGAATGAACCAAGAATAGGATGAGGAGGACATAGAGAATGTTGTGGAAGGGAAAGAAACTAGTCCTTAAAAAAGTGCCAAGCCGAGGCAATTTTATTGGTGAGTTCTTTCAAAACTTCAGGGAACACATAAAGCTGATGTTTTAAAAATCTTTCAGGGGACAGAGGCCAATGGGAGTTGGCAGCTTGACCTACACCACATCCGTATGGGATTGTTAGGGACATGGGTTGATAAATCCCAGCAGGATTAAATGCATGACTAGCCATGTCAGCAGGTTTCCGTTATCCTGGCAAAGAGAGGACAGTGTTGGAAGCAAGTGAGGACAGAAACCCTGCTGGTCCATTCGGGGATTCATGGTGATTCTCTTTGAGGAAAATATCACTTCACTAAATTTATATTTGAATTGAAAATTTGTTAGTTATATGGCTTTGCTTGTATTTTATTTTTAAATGTGTTGGTTTTCATACCAAAGTGATAAGCATGAAGCTTATATTTCATATTGTGTGTGTATATATTTCAATAGCTGTAAAGTAGAAAAAAGGTCAACACTAAGATCTGTGAGAATATTTTTTCCCTTCAAGGAGGGATAGATATTACTCAGTTTAAGAGAGTCTGAAGTTTTAGAGAAGGAAAGCAACTCTTTCTGTTGAGTGTGACTTTCTCTGCCTCTTCTTCTCCACAGTAGAATGGTTAGTTCATGGGGAAAAAATCAGAATATAGTAAGTGAGAAAGCTGCCAAGGAGGACCTGGGCTGTTTTGCAAGCCTGTTGGGCCCGTGCAAGAGCCAGAGGAGTCTCTGGAGCTCCACGTAGTCTAATCCAGCGCACAAGCAACAGGGCTTCCTTGTGGGAAATGTGAGGCAGAAAGCCTTAGTTATAAAGAAAGCAATTCTGCCTTGTGTGTCTCCTCTGCACATGGATCTTGAAAACCTATAGCAGCAGGAGTCAGCTGACCAAGGATTTGGGATCCTGGGTCTAAGTCATCTTTCCAGCCACATCCTGATTTGCCTCGTTAGGCACACTGCTGGATAAAATTTTGGTTTGAGGACCAACGACAGAACTGGAACCAGGTCACTGCAGGCCACACCTGTGGTCCAACCAAAGCCCATTCAGAAACGATGAAGGAAGACTTAGCACATTAGTTGTAGGTATTATACTTAGAAGAGAATCTCAAAATAGGAAGGGTCTTTAGAAATCACATATTCCAACATCTATACCAAGGAAGGATCTCTTCTGAAACATTCTGATGATAAAACCTTTCCCTAAAAAAATTCAGTGATAGAGAATTTTCTACCCTCTACTACTCTTTAGGAAGTCTTTTTCTACTGTTAAAAAGTACCATTTGTTAGGAATAGTCTTCCATATAAGGAAGGAATTAACCATCCTCCTGTGACTTTCACTGTGGTTTGGTTGTTTGGAATAGGAAAGAAATTTACTTTTTCCACTTGACAATTGTTCTTCTCTCTAGGTTACTTTGACTCCAAGAGCACCTGAGATGACAGGATATGATTTCTAGACCTCTCGTCTTCCAGTTATTCTCCCTTTGAAACAATAGTGACCACAAAGGGACACATCGAGTGGTTGCCACCCGCACGACCCAATCAGGGCCGGGGACAAACTGCAACCAAGGTACGTGTCCTTAGCAGGAACCGAACCCAGGTCTCTCTGGACCGCAGGCCAACGCTCTAACCACTGAGCAAAACTGGCCAGGGCAGTAGTGCCCACAAAGTACTCCAGTGCACCCACATCAGAACTCCACATTTTAGCTCCAGCTCTTTCTCTCTGTTATTAATTAATAAGTTAACACAAGGACACCTTACTTTGGGCAATAAATGCTTTCCAAAAAAGAGGGTGAAAAAAAATAATCATAAATAAGAAATCAAACTCCATGAACTAGTGGAATCTTTTATGTAATATGTTCTGTAGGCAATGCCTTTGCAAATAATATTGCAATTTTATCTGTTCTGTCAAATAAATGTTTTGGATGCTTTATTTCCTTAAAGTGAGGTCTTCCTGATTTTCCTTATCTTTAAAACTGTTATAATAACGTAATATTCTTGTTTCACAACTCTGATGGGAATGTCTATGATAAAGTGAATAGTTAAGCTATTCTGAAGTTAAGATTTATTGAAAGAGAAAGTTTTAAAAGTTGTTTGGGACTCTGCCTCACTACATTTTTTGAAATTAAAAGTATTCCACTTCCCACCTCACATGACAGAGTGGTGACACAAGACATAGGCTTAACAACTATTTTATTTATAAATTTCCACCAACTCTTGCCATATTATTCTGAACATCACAGATAGACTACATAATAGTATTATGTTATGTTCATCTGTATTAGGGGAAAGAAGAGATGCATCAATAGCATGGAAATGTACTGTTCTGTAAACATACTGGCCTATTAGCTAAAACTCACTCTTGTCCTATCACCATCCAGCTGCAAGACTGTGGGTTAGCAAGTCACTTGTTTTCTCATTTTTAAATTATCTATCACTTGGCTTCTCTACCTCAGAGTCAATTGGTTACATGAAAAAAATAGTAAGTTACCCTAGAATTATAGGGTCGATCTAAGAAGAAAAAGACCCACCATGGCTAAAGTGATTTAAAATACAAGTGATAACTGGTGACTGGGAACCAATTTTCACCCCAATTGAAGCTTATTTGTGTAGAACATCAAATGATAATCACTAAAAACAAAATTCCTTAAAAATTAAAATTCTGAGATTTTGTTTCTGAAAAATAGCTTCTTTGGTAGAACATTTAGCATAGACTATGTTAACCTCAAATCAATGTTGTTGCCAGATGGAACAGTCTTACAACCAATTTTTTTAGAAAGTCATGTTGCTTTTTAATTGCAAAATGTGTATCTCCAGGCCTCAAAATTCAGGGGCAACCTGGGTGATGTTTATGATAAAAAAGTGAGGACTCTGGCAAACAGAGTTGAACTACATAATTATGACTATCTGGCAAAATGATCTGTATTTGTATATTTATGGGGTACAGCTACCATGATTATTCAAGGTTTTTGGAACCTTGGGCGACACAGAAAATAATCTGTGAACATATCTTGTTGATTTATCAAGTACTGGGTCATTAATGCAGTCTCCATACTATTACTCTTATGTCAATTCCTTAGATCTTCTTTTCAGCCTCTGAGTACTCTACGCCTTGGGGAAAACTGTTTAGGGAGTAGATATTTGTAAAGAGTTATTTTGCTTTGGAATGTTCTTGGTTTATCAAAATGAAAAGATGAATATTATACATGCTGAAAATGTGGAAACATGGTTGTGAGACCTGCCAACTATTTGGGCACTGATTAGAAAGTATCTTCATCTGACTCAATGGTATTCTTGGGTTTGGTAAGTCTTTCCAGTTCCTCTCCATCCTAAAAGGAAACATAAAATCAGTAATTAATTAAAGAAAAATTAGAAATGTAGTGTTCTTATTTATTTTTTTAATCCTCACTCGAGGACATTTTTTCATTTTTTTGTTGTTGTTCAGATAGAGTGGGGTGAGGGGAAGAAAAACATTGACATGAAAGGGACACATCGAGTAGCTGCCACCTGCATGACCCAACCAAGGTATGTGCCCTTGGCGGGAACCAAACCCCGGCCTCTCAGGACTGCAGGCCAATGCTCTAACCTCTGAGCCAAACCGGCAAGGCCGAAATGTAGTGTTTTTACTGATTACCAAGAAGAAAGCTCACTAACATATCATGTACTTTATTTTATTACACTATAGATATAATCTGGTCAAATGAAATTAAATAAATACTTAAGTTCTTGGAAAGTTAATTTTAGATATATAATGAGATCATGAAAAACTGAAATAAAACTGTTTGAATTTCAAAGTTAACATGAGCAAAGTAAGGAGCACCCTCTGCTGGTCTTGAAGGGAAATGACTAAAGATTGGAAAAAGACGAACTAGGCCTTGTTACCTAAATTGAAACTCTTTTACCTAAAAAGCAGAGCAAGCAGTGCTATCAGATCGTTGAAAAAGAACACAGGACTTTTGAATCTATACTTTGGCTGAGATAAGTGCATTTGGGACCCAAGATTCTAATTTCTTCATCTGATGGATCTGTTGTATCACTTTGGAGGCATTATTGAGGAAACCTCTACTAAGAACTCGGATAATAGATTAACTTTTCCAAAGAATTAAGTGTTTGTTGCATAAAATACTTCATATTTAGTGTTCATAAAAATTATAAATTTAAACTTAGAGGAGTCTATTTCATCTTCTACTTATAACAAATATTTAACTCCTTACTTGAGTCTTCAAAAGATCATTATTAATTTGCTAATTAACATGACTGACAGACCCTCCTAAAACAATAATAAGCACCTGGCAGAATAATTTCAGAATAATTGCATAAGCATTTTTCTAGAGAATATTTTTCTCTTGTACGATCCTTTGAAAACCACTACCGTAGTGAGACAAACAATGCCTGCCCATCTGGCACATTGTGGTTTATGTATAAATACAGGGAAAATTAAGGAGCCAGGCTTCCCACTTACATTTAGTAAGATGTACTAATGTTGGAGATCAACTTTTCTTATGAAATGAGGCTAATTTCCCCAACAGCAGTGTAGTGGAAAAAGTAATGAAGTAGGAGTCAGACCTCATGGGTTGAGTACTAGTTCTTTACTATTGGATTTAGCCTCCCTGAGCCTGTTTCTTCATTTGTAAAACTAGGGAGACTGGACAAGATAATATGTGAAGCTTCTCCCAGTTCTGACTCTTTAATACTCTGACACAACTAGCACATAAGGTCCTTGTGACTGTGATTTATATTTTTCTGGACCCCTGAGAGCATTATCATGAGCCCTTGCACACATAAGACCAATAAAATGTTTGCTGAGTAATTTTTTTTATGACAGAGATCTGATATATCCTTTAATAAATCAGCACTAGTCTATTTCTATTCTTGTGTAACCATGCTTTGAATTGGGGAAGAACAGGCAAAAGGCCTCACAAACTTACCCCACTGGAGCGCTCCCAAAGATGGCCACTGAGATCTCGGATCCTCTCTTGCCTGTGTCCATATTTCAGATCTTGGGACTTGCTGGCATTATAAATAAATATGGCAAGAAGAACTGATGGGGCTTCTAAAAAAAACTCCAGCGAGGGCCTAAAGTCAAAGACCAGGACAGACACTGTTGTGATGATGACAGTGGTGACCTGGGACATTAAGACATGGAACATGTTATCCAAAAACTTCAGAATAAAAGCCACTGAGAGGCCCTGGAATGCAGTTACAAAAATAAGTGCTACTGAAAATGCATTGTGGCCATAAAAAAACCCACAGTTCTTAATCTGATCACGGTTACTGCTCTGAAGGCCCAGGGTCAGCCCATTAAAAAGAATGCCAAAGAAGTAGAGTTTGCTGTTCTGTATGAAGATATTTTCAGTGAGCTGGTTCCCCTCCTTCAATATCTTCTCGTTATAGATATTGGCCATTGAAGAAGTAAAGCACTGGGCTATAATAAGAACATGGCCCAAGCCGAGACGGAAGTGGCTGAAAACCCTGAAGGTGGTGTTCCACTTGGAGTCGGAAAAAGTCCACTCCTTTGCCGTGCAATTGTCTTTTCTGGGACACTCACTCCTGAAAACAAGGCAGGAATTGGATGGGCTGAAGAAGGCGTCATGGTGAAATCCATGTCCTGCTAGGTTATGCTGTGAAGTTTTAGTCCCAGCAGTGAGGGCCACAATAGACAAAAATAGAATCAGGAGGGAAGCCCACTGTATCCAGTTTAGCTGCCTCCTGTTCAAAGATGAAAAACAAGATTTTACTACTGGGTTCCCCACCCCACCCTCCCCATATGGACTATTTCTACTGAAAAGTCAGACACTTGAGTAGCCGGTTGAATAAACTGTACCCAGTGTTTGCCAAGATTCCCCACAATTCAAGTTAGTGTCTCTGCTTTTTAACGTTGATATTTTTATTCACTTTCATAATAAACATCCTTTAAGACCATTCAGTCATTTCGCCTCATGTTACATTTCCTTTGAGCCTATAGGTGGAACTAAGCCTCCTTTCTACCTCCAGTGCTGATCTTGAACCTTTGGAACAATAACTTTTTATCTTACTATAAAGTAAATCATAGAATAGATTCTCAACCTGGTTCTCACAGACCAGAATGTGATGAACTTCAGATATGTAGATCCTGGCAGTGTGTGCCAATTCTTCTTCGTAGGTGAATTCTCAGCCCTCCTCCCAACCCCAGGAGACCCTTCAAAGCTCTGCCAAATTTCAGAGGTATTCATGACCCAAAAAAGATTTGAGAAAGCTGGCTCTCAGATCTATGACTTAATCATAAAGCATTTTATAGCAAACTACTTTTTGATAAGGCAAGAAAAACATATTTTTAGTAACTAATTACAAAGTCTTAACAATGCCTTTTTTTTAATCCTCACCCGAGGACACTTTTTTTGCATTCATCTTCAGATAGAGCAAGAGGGAGAGAGGAAGAGAGAGAAACATCGATGCGACAGAGAGACACATCGACTGGCCGCCACCCACATGACCCCAACTGGGGCCGGGAACAAACTGTAACTGAGGTACATGTCCTTAGCGGGAAACGATTCTGGGCCTCTCTGGACCGCGGGCCAGCGCTCTAACCACTGAGCAAAACCAGCCAGGACAACAATGCTTTATTTATTTGCCTAACAACAAACTTGTAGGATGTAGAAGATATACATTATTATTGTCCCATTTTTTGGATTCACTCAGTTTAACAGACATTTAATAAGCAGCTACTATATGCCAGGCACCCTGGGAAGATAAAGACTTGATGCCCATTCTTTTTTTTTTAATCCTCACCCGAGGATATTTTTCTATTTCTCTTCAGATAGAGTGGAGGGAGGGAGGGAGGGAGAGAGAAACATTTACATGAGAGAGACACATCGACTGGTTGCCTCCCACATGACCCCAACCAGGGCCAGGACGAACTGCAACCAAGGTACGTGCCCTTGAACGGAAATGAACCCGTGACTCATTGGTCCATGGGCCGACGCTGTAACTGCTGAGCCAAACCAGCCAGGACTTGATGCCCCTTCTTGAGGAATTTACATTTTAATAAGGAGAGAGCCATGAAACTAAAGGACAACAATATGTGACAAATGTGATACACAGAACAATTGGGGTACATTGAGGAAGGAACACGAGTCTGTAATGGGGTCAGATACTGCTTCAAAGAAGATGACACTTGAGCAGAAAGATGAAAAATAACTGAAGTTTGCCGTGTGAAAAGGGAGTTGGCGATATATCCAGGCAGAGGGATGCATCTATGCAAAGGCAGTAAGAATGTATAATGTTGACTAAGGAAAGAGTGGTAGCTGACACAGGTTAGGGAAAACAGGGAGGCCTCTGTGGGGAGGGAAGAATATCAAGTTTGAAGATGGATAGAGGGGCACCAGAGTGTGTGGAAAAATAAAAAAACATAAGCAAAGGCAGAATTGTAAAGTAACAACTAGAAATTATAAGAATTTTAGAGCATTATTGAGCACCGACCATGGGTCAAGTAATTTCTGTTCTACCAGAGAAAACAATGTTCTGAGAGGCTAACTGACTTCTTTAAGGTCATGTATTTATGAAAGGTCAAGGAAGGGATCTGAGTCATGGTTTTGTATGTCTTCCTTCTAGACCATTCAATGCATCTCTTAAGTTTAGCAATTCAGAGTTTTCAATACATATAGTGTTCGATTTCACCAATGCTTCCATAGAGCTTCATGCTATAAAACTTCTAAATGCACAGACCAGCCTAGATAGTAGCACATCTGTACACACAATCATATATATGTCTTCTCATGTATATACTCTCAAATAACCAGATCTAGCACTTAGTGATGAGGCTACTGTAGCCCTATGCCATAAGGCCAGAAACTGTGAACTAGCCACATAATTTCTAAAGGTGCAGCCGGTATGCATTAATTCAGTTTAACAGACAATTTGGTAGAAACCAAATTGAAGGGAAAAAAAAATACAGGATAAAAAATTGGGTGCCCAATTTATAAAAATCATTATAATCAATCGGTATTATCGAGACAAATGAGGCAGGGACAGGAGGAAAGAAGGTGAAGGGATTAGCCAAAGAATATATATGAATAACCCATAGGCACTGACAAGTGTGGTGAAGGGCCAGAGAGAAGGGGTTCAGGGGCTGGGTAGAGGTGGGCAAAGGTGATGGGGGTGGGAATGGAAACATCTGTAATAGTATCAACAATAAAAATAAACTTAAAGAAAAATGAGACAATGATCTACAGTTCCTTTGGAAGTTTTCAATTCTGACAGCTATAGTTTCCACTAATACTAACTTTGAGGAAAAAAATCTAAGTAAACAAAATTTTAAACAAGCTAAACAGTTCTTACTGTAAATAATTACTCTTTCAGGGTAATTTGCTTGGGAAGATAAAAATGATTAAGAATTAGGCTGATTTTCAGCAAAATAAATAAATCTTAATACAGTATCCTGTCAAGTCAGCTGAGAATCTGCACTCTTACAAATGATGACTGATTGTGCATGAAGAGTTTGCTCCTCAGTTTAGGGGATACAGCAGCAGAATCAACTGATCTCTCCACCGCCCCAGTAAAACATTCGGACTGATGCTCAGAGCTGAACACTTGCAGCCAGAAGGCTGCTGTACCTGAGGGCCTCTGCTCCCAAGTGAATTGGTGGCTCACGATCTGTTTCTAAATGTGTTTTTGCCAAGTAAACTCATTATTGTAATATTTTAATGATTACGTAAATGACAAATTATCAGTAAAGAAAATAATTGCTGTCTTTATGAAAATTAAGTTGAATACTTTACAAAAATTAAAGGGGAATCACTCACAAGATTAAAAAGCTGCTTTTGATTTATGTATAGCTGAGCTTATTTTATGATTAGGGAATGAATAATTAAAATCTAGAAGAATCTACTTTAAAAGTACTTTTAAGGTCTTGTTCCACTTTAAAGAAACTAAAACCAGAACTCATGATGTGTATTGAATATAGATTTTCAAGCAAGAAAGCCAAAGAACTCCAATTAGCAAATCCTACACATACTTAAAGACCTTAGCTTTTCATCAAAGAAATGGAAATTTAAAAATCATAAGTTAAATTGATAAAAGTTGTATTTGTTTTTATAATTCCCTACTTTGAGTTGCCCCTCAACTAACTGAGGGGCAACTCAGCAATTAGGTCCAGACTGTGTCAAATAGTGAGCACTGCTACCAAATTTGGTGGTAATAAACCAAGGCAGAGCATGAAAATACAATAAGACATTCAGATGGTGATATTTTTCCTTTTCTCATTTTCGAATTTTCCAAATAATTCTTGCATCAGTCACCAGACTTATTTTTAGGAAATAAAGCCTTATGTTCTTTACCTATATAGGAAGGGTATATGATGGCTCTGCAAGAGTAAAGTGTAAGATAAGAGCTATAATATTCTAAGTAAAATATGAGTTATTTATGGCAAACATATTAAGAATATGTGCTAGAACTCAAGCTGCTACTCGTAGGTCAAAATTTTATTGCCAAGGGCAAAAGACCATTAAATGATTCACAGAGTAGATTAAACAGAGAAAAACAGAGAAACATACACCATCAACAACAAAACTATCAAAGTAGAACAAAATGATGCTGACATTAAATGTAATAATAGAAAATACTTAAAAGTATTCTCATAAAAGACAGTATTAGATTTACTACTGTATTTTAGCTGTACTAAAATAGCTTCATTGTTGTTGTGAATCAATCAAACTGAGACCTACTCGGGATACTAAGTTAGTGCTTGTGGAAATAATAAAAAATGAAGTAATTTTTATTGTTTCTTTAATATAAATAACTTTCAAGGAATCAAAACAGAGCTATAAACCACAAAACATACACGTCTAGGAATCAATATTATTGCTCTGAATAAAGAAGCAAAATATGTAAAAAATATTTTAAATTTTAGTTTATAACAATGTTAATTTTTATTAAGACTAGCAACAATACAATTAATATTATTACTAATACAGTATTAAAAATGAAACATTTAGCCTTGGTGGTGTGGCTCAGTGGTTGAGCATTGACTCGTGCACCAAGAGGTCGCTGGTTCAATTCCAGATCAGGGCACATGCCCAAGTTGTGGGCCAAATTCCCAGTGGGGGGCATGCAGGAGGTGGCTAATTGATGTTCTCTCTTATCGATGTTTCCATCTCTCTCTCCCTCTCCCTTCCTCTCTCTCTAAACAATAAAGAAAAAAAAAAATTTTTTTTTTTAAAAAGCAAAACATTTAGTTTCCAGTATAAATAGATTTGGCTTTGGTTACACTAAGAATTAACTTTGTTAATATAAAATGTTAAATGCTTAAAAATTTAACAGGCCCATCTTTGCCCATGGTGGCTCACTCTGCCAGAAAAGGGCCAGCTTATTTCAGATTGATCCTTCTGTCCCCAGCCTTGTATACCGCCCCCCCACCAACACTCTCCCCTCTATAGTCAAAAGAAGTCACCCAATCACTGTGAAATGCAATGGTTCTGGGCTCCAAGCAAAGACTCAGCTTGAGATGAATTTACTGATGAGTGGAACAATGACTATACCTGCCTCATGGGGTCAATGTGGGATTAAGTTAAAATGGGGCAGGAAGGCCCTCAGTACAGTGCTTGGCCCTGAGTCCTAATGTTTCCTCATTACTGCCTGGCCAAGAACCTCCCTGGTCCCACTGCCTACAGGGAAGTTCAACCAGCTCTGGGTAGGTAGGGTTTTTCTAAGTGGCCTCTCACCTTGGTCTCAGAGCCCTGGTTCATGCCCTAGAGTCAAACTACTGGCCAATTTCAAGTTAGGCAATACATACTTTGTATCTTCTCTTTGGTAAATTTAGTTTTAAATTGGGGTAATTTTGACATGATACAGTGACATAACACATATTACATAATAACTTATAATACCATGTATATTTGTAAACTATCATTTCAGAGGAAAAAATTTTACTTTAAAAAAACATGTTTTTGAAACCTTTGCTCCCTTACTAAATAGTGAACCTTTTATTATTAATCAGAGCCAATTTTTTTTTTTTTCCTTTATGGAAGTGCACCTCTAGTTTTATCACAGGAATCAATATAAAAATATTATTGCTTACATATATTTTCTCAGAAGCCAACTTTTTATCCTATAAAGTGACTGTTACGTTAATTTTAAAGACTTCAAAATGTTTTTGGAAAAGCATTCTTTTACATGCTAGTTGATTTCTTTTTACAATTCATAAAATGAAGAAAATTCATAAATAAGATGCAAAAGCAAACTTCAGTGTATTGTAACATTTAAACTGGATGATGTGAAATGTTCATTTTTTTTCTCTCTTACATCAACCATTACATTGACTATTTCCTCTGGGTAAAAGAAAATCTTTATGTACTGAAGACATGGATTCAACAAATATTTACTGAGTGCCTATATACCAAGCTTTTCATTGTTCTATACACATAAATTACAAAAGAACATCCTATGACACAGTGCACTGAGAAGCAAGAAATTAAAAAGGGAGAGAAAAAAAGCAATCACAACAAATATAACAAGAACTTAATTTTATTTTTATCATCATCAATAAATAACAAAACAAAAAAAAAATTGGAGATAAGTGTCCAGATCCTGTTCCACCTTAGAACATTATGACCTTTGCTTTGCAGCAGAGCCTGTTTAGTTAAAAATATTTATTTTATTCAAAAGTCTTCCTGGAGATAGGAAAGACTGGTGTAGAATGTTGAAGTTTAAAAATCTATCATTTTTATTAATAGTAATGCAACTCGGTTCCTGATACAAGTACTTGGCCAATGAGAACTTAAATCGTGTACTCATCTCAAATAGTTTAACAAAGAATTTGGCACTCTTTGTCATCTCCAAATTCAAATAACAAGTGTGTATCAATTTTAGGAACTTCTTGGTTCCTTATTACTGTACTAGAGATTCTGCAAAAAAATAAAAAAACAAAGTAAAATAAACAAACAAAAACATCTCATGAATGCTTTGCTGAAAATCTGGCACTAAAAATTAAAATACTCATAACCCAGTCAATGATCTTCTTTTTTTGAGATGTTAAGAAAATGCATTTGAAACACAGAATCACAGAGGATTCAGACAGGCTAGCAGTGGAGCTGCTTTCCAGATGGGTTAAGCAACTCGTCAACACACAATGCCAATTAGGAATAAAATCCTGGTCTTGGGATTCAGAGGGTTCAGTGCTCTGGGTATATCATCTGAAATAAGAGTGTGCCATTTTAAAGTACCACATATGCTTTCACAACAAGTTACTTACTTCAGTACTATCCTGAATAGAAGAGCTGTTGTTATAATGCTAAAATTTGAGAAGATAACAGCCATGGCCTAGAAAGAAAGAGGAGATAGAGTTACAATCCAAATAAAGTACTGACCTCAGAAATCTCTCAGCTTGGTGGTTCACCTGACAAGAAAAGCTTTCTGGTCAAAAACCAGAGGGGTTATTAGGGCAGCTATTTCACTAGAGGATTAAATTCCATTTTTATTGCTTGTTAAATTTATGCAGATATGATCAAATTATTGTACAGACTTTCAAAATGTGTTGAAATTCAGCAAATGCCCTTGTAAATAATCTATGTGTGCAGATCTGGAAATACTTATAAACTCTAAACGTTTGGGTCTGAAATAACAGTTACCATGCTTCTAATGCATACTTTTTTAAGTTCTCAAAGTGCTTTATAGACTTTTAATACTGTTCCTATGGGTAGAGAAAAGGCAGATTCTGTTAGGCACATTTATACATTAAGATAAATGAGATAGAGGTTTTTAAGCATCCTTACTATTGTAGAAATTGAATCCATTGGTTGAACTGTAGTGACTCAATACTAGTGATCCATTCACCATCACACTCATATTTCACAGTCCTTTGGATTTACTCAAATTGTTCTAAAACCTTAGAAATGTGTTAGCCAAATTTTATATAGGTCTGTTTTTTAAAATTTAGTCATATTTCACGTGAGACTACTAATCTGAACATGTATACATTTTGGCCCACAAAGCATGAAATTTCATTACTGTCCCTCATAAATGGATCTGACAATATTAATATTTAAAAACATATCCTCCTTGCTGTCACTTTAAAATGATTAAACCACACTGGGCAAGTGTGGCTCAGTGGCTGAGTGTCGACCCATGCACCAAGAGGTTGCTGGTTTGATTCCCGGTCAGGACACAGGCCAGGTTGTGGGCCCAATCCACAGTGTGGGGCATGCAGGAGGTGGCCAATAGATGTTCTCTGTCAGAGATTTCTCCCTCTTCCTTCCTCTCTCTAAAATCAATAAAGAAAAAAATTTTTTTAAATGATGAAACCCCAAAGAGTATCAACAATCTTATATAACCAGCATAATATAGCTAATATGCAGATGACTTAAATAAATAAATAAATCCAATGACAATTAGCAAAAATTCCAAGAATACATCATTGTTGTTTATCTATTGAATTTTCGTGTACTACTTTAGTTTCTCAGTGTCCTTCTCTGTAGATGAATGCTGGTGAACCCCTAGTTAGGAGAAGAGGAAAGTGGCTGGTAAGAGCGGGGAAGTAGTGGCTCTGACCTGTCACAATATCAGCAGTGCAAATGCACTTACCAAGCATCCTTGCTGGCCTGATGAATTCTGAAAACTCTTTCCTTGTAATAGTATAGAATAAACAAAACATTAGAGCTCTTTGCCCCAAACTTCCACACATCTCTATTTAATTCTTTCCAGTTAGATTGGGCACAGCAATACACAGAATATGCTATATGATTTATTTTGTAATATTTGTGGTTATACACAATCAGGAAGAAAGAGCAAAGCAATAAGTTGGAAGAATAGCAGAAAATTGTAATCTTGCTTTGGTACTGGGGATGTAGGAAAGGGATATAAATTTAGAGCCTAATCTATTGGATACAAAGAAAATATATCAAATATATAATTATTGAATGTGAATACTATGTCATTGGTAACAGGAATTCTCAGATCTGAAAAAGAGACTGGAAGCAAGAATTTAGGAGAAGACACATTTTAGATGAAATGGACACTTAATAATAATAATATGGATCACAAAGCTGAAAGGAACTTCAGGTGATCATCCAGCACTGGTCCCTACCTTCGAGGTGGTGTGGTGACACTATTCTTTTACAGATGGGCAACTGACTCTTAGAGTAGTTGGCGCTTGCTTAGTTACACAGCTTCCAAATTGTGCAAAAGAATCAAACTCCTGTTTTCTACTACAGTGCTCTATTGATCCCTCCTTTTCATCCCACTTAAAAACTAATTTGGCTATATTTAAGAGGCTTCACATAGAAGACTAGAACCAATAAAAATCCTATTTATGATAAAAATGCCTGAGTTTATTCTTCAAAACCTGTAACACATTTTGGCAACAATGGCAACAGAAATCTTCATTTTGTAAAATGCTAAGGGAAAATACACACATGACCCAAACTCGGTAATAGGTAAGAGCAGAAGACCAAATTTTAATTCTGATTACTAATGGTTTTCTAAATTTGTTGGCCTAGAGAATGCCAACAGAGATAAGACATATTCCCAGTATTAAAAGTTATAGGTAGTGTTTAGAGTTGAGAGGATATAATCTCTGCTCTAACAACTGGACTAACAACAACAAAAATCATATAAACACATTAAAGCCGGTGTAAGAAAGAGCGGTGCACTGAGTGTATAATTTTCTGAATCAAGTCTCCTTGGAGGACCTGGATATTGAGATTAATATTAGAGGCTGGTGATCCTAGGATGGCTCAGGAAATCGGCAGACTGATTAAGGTTACACAAAGAATGATGGATCCAGAGTCAATGGCCAGGGAGCAACTCCCACAGAATAGTTAGCAACAGTTTTATACAGCAAACTTTACCAGTGAGATAATCTGGCAAGCATACTGATAAGTCATTACTCAGATAATTCTGGTCAAACCTCAGGAAGGCCAGTGAAAGCAATGACAAACTAACAATGCCTAGGAAAATGATTTAAAAAATAAAAAAGATTAGTTCTAAAATGAATTTCTCTGTGTTTTCCCAATGCTATTTTCTTTGTCATATTTACTTACAGGTTGAAGATAGGAAAGGACATAGAAGACAATCAAATTATCCAGGAAATAAAGAAAGGCTGGAATGGACCACTTCATGAAATTAAAGAATTCCCTCCATGAAGCACATTTCAAGTTTCTATTTTGATGATGTTCTAAAAAAAGAAATACAGCAATAAATAAAAACATGATCTTGAGGAGAATGTCGTTACTTTTACAGACAGTAAATTGTATTTGACTTCTGACACAATTCTTTAAAAGAGGCTTTATGAATTTGCTTTCATAAGTGACTGTTAGCCTTGAGACATCAAAAACAATACAGAATTTTATTATGTATTGTCTTTCTGCACCCCACCACTGTGCCTTATCACTGACAATTAGTAACACTTTAGGATTACTGATTCTCCTAATTCCTGTTAACTTGAAATAGAAGTATCACTCAAGACAACTGAGGATCCACTTATGTTTCTCTTAGTAGTCTGAGAGCACTGAGAGAGACAGAGAGAGAGATATCAACAAATTAAAATAAGTTAAAAAAAATCCAAAGTCAAGTGTTCATGCTGGTATTCCCATCTTGCTCCCCGGGAGCGGGGAATCAAGAAAGGATAGTGCTAGGTGAAAATTTATATCTAGGGAAGTAGAGAAAATTAAATTTACTAATCTTAGTATGAATTATTGTTCCATTTCCATATTTTCAAAAATTTAGGAAGGCACTGTAACAGAGAATATAAAATAAAATGATAGAAAATTTAAGTTTAAGCCCTGTAGATAAGGCATGAATTTCGTGAGATTAAGAAATGTATTCCACTAACTGGAAACTTTGCACAGACTGAAACCCTTGAGTGTGACAAGCCCTTTAATAAATTCTGTTTACCTTATATGGAAGGGAAGATCAAAGTAGTAAAGAGAGCAACGGCTCAATAATTGGGAAATTCATATTAAGAATTAATACATATTAAGAGCCACTAAAGGCTAGATATTTCAGATCTGAGAAAGGATTAATATCCTTATTTGATAGTTGATGAAATGAGCTCAGAAAAATTAAAATAATCTGCCCCAAAATACAGTCTCCCTGACTCCAATGCACTATACTGCCTCCTCTGAAGGAAACAGGGACTGCTTTGCAATGTGCTACACATACTAAGTCAAACAGGAGTCATTTAAAAAATCTTCAATTTTAATAATAACGAACTCACTGTGTGACCCATTACATGAACAAGCTACAAGGTAGACCAATAGACAGGACACTAGAAAACTAATACTGGTTCTGCCCTCTCCTACCCAGAACTGCATAAGACTTTCTTTGAGCCTGTTTATCCACCTGCAAAACATGGATAATCACACTTGTATCTATAGTTTGGCATTCTCATATAAAAAATTAATGGGCTAAATGACATAAAATGTTCTTGCCATGTCTACAAATTTTTGATTCAGTGATTTTTAACACATACATAGTAATATTGTTTCAAGACTCACCTTTCTTTATAACCCAGAATGAAACAAGCACACAGAAAACCAGCTTTACCAGTTCTGAGCACACATTCACAGTAGTTGGAAGATAATCATATTTATTCTCTGAAATGTAACAGAAATGTTTTTTTAACTATAAATTTTGTTCCATACAATGCTTTAAATATAGTTAATAATTTAGAGTTGTTATTAAACTTCAAAGCTGGATTTTAATACTGGTCATATTAAACTTCATCCAATTGGCTTTGTTCTTTTTGATTTTTTTAATCAATTCACCTACTGTTTTATCTATCCCTACCCCATTCAGCATTTTATTATCCTTGAATTTGATAAATATGCCTTTGATGTTTTCATCCAAGTTGCTAATATGTTGAGAAGGCTAGGGCTACGGGCAATAAAAGCTTTGTGGTATGGCACTAGAGACTGGCTTCTAAATGGACCATTAATTAATACTCAGGGCCTGACTCCTCAAACAGCTGTGAATTTACTTGGATGAATCATTACGCAGTTCATGGTGCCTCTTGTGTGGCTTGTTAACCTTGTACCCAACTCAAAGTACACTCTGTGATATTCCCTTAACCAAGAGTTTTCCTCTCTGTTTCATATCATGGCACACATGGATAATATTTGTTTGGCACTCTGGAACAAATGGTACATTGGGGTAAAATAAGGAAGCTATTTGAGGCAAGAGGCAACTGAACTGGTCCAGGGCTCTGGCTACTCTAGGACTGAGAGAAAATACTGTGACACATCCAAGAATCCACTGATGAGTTGGGAAGCTATGTCCTAATTTGCAAGTCAATTTAATTAGGAAACGAGGTTTGTTAGCATGCCTTGGTCTTAGCCGTTACCGGTCTTTTTCAAATGCTTACAAACAACTTGCTCTATAATTTTGCCAAGGATAAATATAAACTTTATTAAGTTCTATTCTGAGGAATACATTTCTCCCTTTTTGAAAACATTTGCTTGTTTCCCTTGGTCAGCATATTAAAAACCCACACTGGCCAAGTACAGAGGAAAAATGCCAACTTGACTTTCTTTCGCCCCAGAACACCCTTTCTTCCTCTCAACCTAAGCATAATTAATTTTTTTTCAAATTTCTTTTTCTTTATTGCTTTTACAGAGGAAGGGATAGGGAGAGATAGAAACATCAATGAGAGAACATCAATTGGCTGCCTCCTGCATGCCCCCCACTGGGGATTTGGCCTACAACCTGGGCATGTGCCGTGACAGGGAATCAAACCGGCGACCTCTTGGTACATGGGTCGATGCTCAACCACTGAGCCATACTGGCCGGGCTAAGTAAAATTAATTCTTTATTCATCTCTGATCCTGTAGCACTACCTATAAAACTCTGTAACAGTACTTATGACACTGTATAATAGTTATTTTTTATGTGTGTGTCTTACCTTTACAATGTAAGCTCCTTATGAGAAAGGGACCATGTTAGGCACTTTCATAACCTGGCAGTTAATGGTGTTTTATACTTAGTAGGCACTTAATAAATGTTAACCTGAATTTATTTATTTGCTTGTTAAACGTTTCCATCATTCAAAGCCTAGTTAAAAGACTTCCTCCTCCCTTTTCTGAGCTCAAACCTAGACTGAAATCACACTCTATTTTCCTCCAATAATACTTTGAATTGATTTCTATCAATGATACATACAAGAGCAAACATGCATACACAAGAATGGGGTGGGGGTGGAGGGTTTGGAATATAACTCTTTTTTTTTTTTTTTTTTTATTTTATTTTTTATCCTCACCCGAGGATATTTCTCCATTTTTTTTTTGTACAGATAGAGTGGGAGGGAGAGAGAGGAAGGGAGAGAGAGAGAGAAACATCGACGTGAAGGGACACATCGAGTGGCTGCCACCCGCACGACCAACCAGGGCCAGGGACAAACTGCAACCGAAGTACGTGCCCTTAGCGGGAACCGAACCCGGGTCTCTCCGGACCGCAGGCTGACGCTCTAACCGCTGAGCCAAACTGGCCAGGGCTGGAATATAACTCTTAAACTCTTGTCACTGCTCTTCAATTCATTCTTGTTTTTATTTTCTTGTAGTTCTCTCATGGTTAAATACAAACTGTGCCTCAGCATCATGTGGGACCTTCGTCCACTGACCTTCTGCCCACACTCACATACCTTATCTACATTACATCTATCCTTACTAGTTTCCCTTTAGTCCCCCCAACAAGGGGCCCCTGCCCCACTATTCACCCATTCTCCCCTTTAAAATCTTATCTTAAGGGACTTTGCTCCAATAATTCTTCTGGCTTCAGATCTCCTTTATCTATTCCCTGGTTTCCTCCCCTTAGCCTACATATATGCTCAAAACTCTCTCATCCAAAAAACAAAACACTGTATAAGATCCTACCCTGAGCCCTGGCTGGTTTGGCTCAGCAGTGGAGCATCAGCCCACCGACCTATGAGTCAAGGGTTCAATTCCGGTCAAGGGCACATACCTCCGTTTCGGTCGAGGTCATGCGGGAGGCAACTAGTCCATATGTCCCTCTCATGTTGATGTTTGTTTGTCTCTCTTTCCCTCTCTCTCCCTCCCACTCTATCTGAAGATAAATAGAAAAATATCCTCGGGTGAGGATTAACAAAATTAAAAAAAAAAAGCCCTGGCCGGTTTTGCTCAGTGGTTAGAGCATCGGCCTGCAGTCCAGAGAGAGCCAGGTCCGGTTCCCGCAGCGGCGCGTTATCTTGGTTGCGGTTTCTCCCCGGCCCTGGATGGGTCGTGTGGGTGGTGACCACTCGGTGTGTCCCTTTCATGTCGACGTTTCTCTCTCTCCCTCCCACTCTATCTGAACAAAAAATGGAAAAATGTCCTTGGGTGAGGATTAAAAAAAAAAAAAAGATCCTACCTTCTCTTCCTAAAACCATGTCAATATTCATTATCTCCATTTTGCCCACTTTCCATTTGGGTCTTGTCCCCAAGCAGTCTTGTTTCTGATCCCATCACTGTTTTCACCCTACCTACTCCTGAGATTACTAAATATCTTCTAATGACTCATTCCGAAGGGCATGTTTTAATTCTTATCTTATGATGCAGCAGTTCCTTCTGTCTTCAAATTTGTTCCTTTCCATGAGTCATATGTATTTAGTTCTTGATAACAATTCCTTGTTAATATCCTTCTGAGTATCAGCATGCTGGTTAAATGTTGGCATTCCTTGGAGTTCTGTCCTTGGCTCTATTTTCTCATTTTGCATGATTACCCTGAATGAGCCCTCTACTTCTAGGGTTTTAAGTATCAATTTAATATTAATCTCTCCGATGTAAATTTAAACAACTGTGAGAGATTACCCCACACCTGCCAGAATGGCTGCCATCAACAAAGCATCACAAAAGTGCTGGCCAGAGTGAGAAGAAAAGGGGACTCTAGTACACTGCTGGTGGGAATGCAGACTGTGCAGCCACTATGGAAAATATGATGTTTCCTCAAAAATTTAAAAATTGAACTTCCATTTGACCCAGTGACCCCGCTTCTAGGAATATACCCTAAGAAGCCTAAAACACCAATCAGAAAGAATATATGTACCCCTATGTTCATAGCAGCACTATTTATAATCTCTAAGATCTGGAAACAGCTCAAGTGTCCATCAACAGATGAATGGATAAAAAGGCTATGGTACATATACACAATGGAGTACTACGCAAGAAATCTCTTATTCTTTGAGACGACATGGAGAGACCTGGATAGTATTATCCTAAGCGAAACAAGCCAATTAGAGAAAGACAAATATCACATGGTCTCACTTATTTGTGGAATATAATGCACAAAACAAGCTGATGAACAAAACAGACCCAGAGACATAGAAGTAGGGTACAGACTGATAAATCTCAGAAGAGGGGGGTGGGGGGGAGGAGGGAAGAGATAAACCACAGAACTTATATGCATGTATGCATAACCATGGACATAGACAACAATGCTGGTGGTTGGGGGGTGGGATCAGGAGGAGGGTGTCGATGGGGGAAAAAGGAGAAACATCTGTAACAAAAATAAATTAATAAAAAACAAACAAAAATAATATTAATCTCTCCAAATCTGTACTCTGGAACATTTAATGCTCACTAAACATAAACATATGAATGACTACCTTGTATTTATTCATTAATCAGCATTTCCTTCACAAGTGTGATGTGCCAGACACTGTAGGATAATGCAATGAACAAGTACACAGTTATTGGCCTCATGGAAGGTACATAGCTAAAATTGTAATCTCTCTGAACTCTTTCCAACCTGCTCTTCCTCCTGAGTCGTCATCGCAGCTGAGAACATCACTGATCCACTTAGCACTTCAAACAGAAAATTTTGAGCTATCCAGTATTTCACCTCCTTTAATCTCCTCGTTCAATATATTCTCCAAGTCCTGTCTTTTCTATGTTTAGAATATATCTTTAGAGTATATGTTTAGAATATGTCTTGAAAACAGAATATCTTTCTTCTCTTTTCTATTCCTACTTTCAAAACCTTGGTTAGTCTCCATGACCTGTGGCTTGAATTTGCAATAACCCCCTAAATAGCTACTCACTTCCAATCTCTTCCCCTTTTGTCCATCCTCCATCCAGCTATCATAACAGTCTTTTTCATTTTCCCCTGCTGTTTGTAATCCTTCAAGTACTCCTTATTCCCCAGATTCTAAGGTCTAGAGAACAAAGTACAAAGTCCAAGACACTTAGCGTGGCATATAAAGTCTTTAGCTGATCATCACTTCTCTCTGAGGCAAAGCATTCCTTTCCCCTCTACTGAGTCCTTAAACTTTTTGCTCAGTAATTCTGAACTACATGTTCTCACAATCAATCCTGCTTTTATATGCATCTGTTCATTTTTACAGGCTGTTGATTCTGTTTTGAATACCCCTGACCACCTTTTATTCTTGTGGATCAACTGCCACCTTATCAAGGAAGCACTTTGCACTCTACATCATCCTTTCCTAGACAGAATATACTGCTTTCTACTCTAAACTATTTCTTCACCGTTGGTATAGAACTGCATTTATGATATTGTATTTTCATGATGTATTTACAGGTATGTCTCTCCTAACAATCTGAGTTCTTGAGAACTGGGTCTATGTCTTATGCACTTTGAACTCTGCTTATACTTAGCCTAGGGCCTAGCAGATAAATGTTAACTTAAGTAGAGACTTATATACACATCTGACTTCTCAAGAAGACCATTAAAGGTCATGGTGTCATAATTTTACGTGTCCTCAATAACTCATGAAAGGTTCTCAATACAGTTTTGTGGAATTAAAATAAGTTTAAGTACATATTCTTACATTAAAAAATAGATTTCTTGAATATGCATTTATATAAAAGCTAACAATCTATACTGTCCCATTAATACAGGAATTAAGATAGTACACTGGAAATGCCAAGTGACCAAACAAATATATCCTTCTGCCTATTTCAAAATAAGATATAATTATATATATTGTTACAGGACTGGATACACTGGTTGATTAAAGCAATAGTCAGATGTTATGATCTGTTCTGTAAAGAACTGGATCCTAAACTTGACTGACCCAAATTTCACTAAGCATCAAAAATGTTTCTTGCTAAGGAATGAAAAGTTAAAAAAAATCAAATTTAAACATTCTTCATCACTCACATGAAGCAGAAAACTTGAAAGGTTATTATCCCCATTTTATACACAAGAAAACCAAAGATAAGAGAAGAATGTGTGATTAGATGGAAGTGCTCCATGTATATACCAAGTCTTAACTTACCTTCATTGGCTGAATATTTTACCAATAGGATGCGACTTGAGCTTAAAGCAATAAATATGGCCCCTAGTAAGAATGTATACATTGTTGACAAGGAGCATAACTTGGGATGACCACAGCACTTGCTTTCCATTTCACTGTTTTCTAATTGCCTTAAAGAGAAGAATAAGTTCATGAGCAACCCTGTTGGCAAATTAAAGATAATGCAAATACCACTGATTTGTGAAGAACATAAATTTTCATGAGCAACCCTGATGGCTATAGCTAATACCAAAACGAAGAAAGCTGAGGAGTACAAGAGAAACTATGGAGAAAGAAGTAAATGAGAGTCAAATTTTGATAGGAGGGATAGGTAATTCTAGAGACAGAAAAGGCAAGGACCAGATTAGAAGTGCTTGCCAAAGGTAGCAAGTGAGTAACTGACACTTTGGGACTGAAGAATTCTGCAGAAAAGCAATTCGTTGACTTTCATTTTTACTAGCAACTTTGTTCTAAAACACAAGACTTTCAGATTTGTTTCTCCCCTCCGTTGCAGCTCTTCCCTAGGAGGAGGAGGACGAGCTTGCTTGGAAAGATTTCGTTACACTGCTGTTAACTTATACCGAACCAGTGGTGGAAGTAGGAAAGAACTTGGAAATCCATGGCTCTAAGGCCCTCCTTTGATATGTTAAGGACACTGAACTCTAGGCCAGGTAAGACACTTGCACAAAGCCTCCCAGTGTTGGGATAGAGCACAGGGCCTGGGGGACTGGCGAGAGATGGCTTGAAATGCCAACAGCGAGGTCTCGATTGGGTGCAAAGTACGGAGGGCAAAAAGACACCTCCCACAAGAGGACAGCAGGCTTTTGTCCACTGCCAGGGAAAGCCTCCTTGTCACACCTGCGCAGTAGGGACCACATCCACCGCGCCCACCCCTCATACGCACGCGCACTTCTTGGCCGGTCGGGCGCGGTTACCTCAGTTCCTCCCTCGAAGAGCTTCTAGTGGAAGAGCTCACATCCTAGGGCTGAATCAGTGACTAGCTTCAGCAGCAACGGCTTTTAGGGTCCATGCGCGGGGAAGCTATGGGAGGGAAAGAAATGCGAAAGAGCACCTGAGCCAGAGCCTCCTATTCCGAAACAAAATGTACAATAAGGACCGGATGGGCAAAAGGCGGACTTGGCGCCCATTGCGCAGGCGCGCTCAGTGTTACGCTTCCGTGGGGCGGGGAGAAGCTACCTGATCCCGCCCCAGAGCGGCCTTTCTCGCGTCACGTTTCGGGAGAGTCCTGCGTCACGTGAGGCGCTGGTGGCGGCGGAGCTACGGCGAGAGAGTGAGAGAAGGGGAAGCCGGAAGGGGCGCGAGTGAAGCAAAGGGAAGAAGACAGTTCCAGAGGGCAGGGGTGCGCGTGCGCCTGCTCTCCCCCACCCCCCCAACACACCCCCTCGGCCCGGCCGCCGTCCCTCGCGGCCAGGTGACAGCTGGGCCCGGTCCACTGCTCGCTGCCCGGGCGCGAGGAGCGCGCGCCCAGTCCCCGCGCGCGGCGCCATCCGCCCCTCCCCCTCGCCCCGTCCGTCCCGTCGCGTCCCGTCCCCTCGGGTGCCGATGCAAGTCGGCAGTAGCGGGGACATTTTCTGACTGCGAGTCCCTGTCCCGTCTGCCCTTCCCACCCCGTCGCGGGGCCGGCCGCTGCTCCGGCCCCAGGATGCAGAATGTGATTAACACAGTGAAGGGAAAGGCACTGGAAGTGGCCGAGTACCTGACCCCGGTCCTCAAGGTAAGCCGCCTGCGCTGTCAGGCACATGCTCAACTCTGCAGGCATCGAGGACCGGGCTCCGCGGGGGTCGCCGTGTCTGCGGCCGGGAAAGGCGTAGGAAGGTGGGGCACAGGAAGAGGTGCAGCCTCCACCTGTGGTCTTACCCAGCTGTTTCCTAGGGCTTTCCGGCTCCTCGGTAAACTCAGAGCGACGCGCCGTGCGTCCTCGTGTCGCCCTTCGCCCGTCAGCACTCGGCGCGTCGGGGCGTCGGGGTGGAAGGTGGTCCGCCGCCAGGTCGATGGGGAACGTTAAGTCCTAACATCGGTAGTCTTTTGAACTTTTCAAACAGAGATTTTGCTTATCTTAAAAAAAAAAAATGAAATCAATGTTTGGTACGAAAATGACATATGTCACTTTTTTCTTTAAATTTCATGTCTTTTTTATAATTACGAGTTTGAAATAGTAAGTGGTGATTGAAATCCCAACTTGTTAGATTTCACGAGGTGACATTTTAACGTTATCCGCACCATTGAACCCAGCTAGCAGGCAAACCTCCCTTTCCCAGGTTTGTAAAATAGCTGAAACTAGTTAATCCTGGACTTCAGTGATAATCAGGAGCGGCTTGACCCCCCTCCCCCCCGATGTATAACTGTACCTTGGTGTACAACATTTTTAAAGTAAAAGTGGTGACTCGTCAGCTATTACAGGAGCGACTGATGGTTTTCTTATTTTCAAAGATAAATTTCTAGAAGTGTATACGTTTTTATTATATAATTCTTTTAGAACAAAGTTTTTCTATTGCAACTTTAT